ACATTAGAATAAGTGATATTTAGATACAATGTGCGATGGGAAAATGCAGATGAATGGAAAAATTAATTCAGTCCTGATGGATCCAGAAAAACTTCACTGACATTTGAACCAGACCTTGAAGGAATCCAACCAAATCAGTACCAAGGTCACCTGCAGCCTAGGGAGCAGGCACAGCAAAGATGTGAAGGGATAACAGAAGAACCGAAAGTTGAAGGCTCATGGGGCAGCTAACAGGGCAGTGTCTGGAGATGAGCAGAGGATACGGAAATTAGTTCTTACTAAGAGCCTTGTAGTCAGTTCTAAACTTGGGGGAGAGTAAAGTTACATCATAACATCTGCATTTTAGAAATATAGTTCCTGTGGCCCAATGAGAAATGGACTTGAAAATGGTACAAACAAAGGTAGAAAAACCCATCAAGAGATTTTTGCATTGATCTTAGGGAGGACCTGAATCAGGGTTGCAACGGGGAGGAGGAAGAGAGAAGATACAATGGAAGTCTCAAAAAGACGGAAAGACCAGTTAGATGTGGTAGATAAAGAGACGCTCTGTAGATGTTTAGCAGCATCCCTGGCTTCTGTCCACTGGATGCCAGTAACACTCCCCTTTTCCCAGTTGTGACAACCAAAAATGTCTTCCAGACATTGTCAAATAGCCCCTGAGGGGCCAGTGGCCCCCAGTTAAGAACAATTGCTCTAAAGTCCTCTGTATCTCCGAAATGTTTTGAGTTTTTATCAAAACTGAAAGCATCCAGGAAACTGCATAACTTCCCTTGAAAATTTTACATTTGTTGTATTTTCTACAATTTTCATACCTTTCAATCAAAATGTTCAGCCGCTGTGTGCTGGCTCTCTTAATTTCCCATTCTGTGGCAGTCTTCACAGTCTGCTTAGTCCAATCCTTGCTCTTCTCAGCCTTGCTTTGCATCAGAGGAAACTACATTTCCCAGGCTCTCTTGACTTCCAGCTTCTAGGTGAGGTCAGTCAATGGGAGGCACTGGCAAAAGATTGGAGAAGGTGAGAGCGAAGAAGCCAGGACACTTCTCCTTTTGTCTGTTTTGACAGTAGCCACTGAGTCCCCTTCCTGTCTCCTACACCTGGAAGAGAGTCCTTCTTCTGGGTCCCCATCATGGTTCCATCTTTCACCAGGTGGCCCCTGGATCCTGGGACATTTTCTTTGTCCCACCCATCCTAAGGGTGGTAGCAACATCCTACTGTTGCTAATCCCTGGCTTATCCTGCCATCCCATTTGTCTTTTTACTTTTTCCATCATCTGTGCAAGCAGTTGCTGTGAACTGAATTGTGTCTCTCCTCTGCCTCTGACCCCAAATTCATATATTTGGGCCTTAACCCTCAGGGTGGCTGTGTTTGGAATAAGGAAGTAATTAAGGTTAAAGGAGATCATAAGGTGGAGCTCATGTCTGATAGGATTTGTGTCCTCATAAGAGGAGACGCTAGAGAGCTCTCTGTCATGTGAGAACACAGCAAGCAGGTGGCCGTCTGCAAGCTAAGAAGAGAGCCCTTACCAGGAACTGAATCTGCTGGCACTTTGATCTTGGACTTCCAGCCTTCAGAAGCGTGAGAAAATTAATTTCTGTAGTTTAAGACACCCAGTGTATGGTATTTTGTTATGGCAGCCTGAATGAACTAATACAGCAGTTCTCTGTATTGTATTTCCATTGTTTGAAATAGCTAGAGAGTTTTTGTTTTCCTGCTTTTCTTGACTGACACAGTTCTTTGCACAACTGACGCCATAAAATATTTACCGTAAAACATCCTAGTACATGCCTGACTATGCAAAAGTCACGTTCATGTTCATTTCCTAATCTATTTCTCCCAACAACACTCTAAGGTAGAGCAATATGATATGACATAAGGGACACAGGTTTTGAGTCACTTAGCCTAAATCACAGTATCTCCACTTACCAGCTACTTGACCTGAGAAGAGGTAGTTAATTTCATTAGACTGATTTCTTCCTCTATAAAAATGGGTCTAATAATAGTACTAACCTAAGAAGGTTGTTCTGGATTAAATGAGTTACTCTATACAGAGTACTTAGAATATTTTTAGGCATATAGTAAGCTCTTGATAAATCTGAGTATTATTTTTAGTTACAGTTTAGTGAGTGCCTATTATGTACCAAACACTGTGACAGGCACTGGGGATATAAAGGCAGTAAGAAACAATCGATGCCTTTAAGGAGCTGCAGTACATTCACAGAGGCAAACACATGAACAAAATATAGTACGTGTATTAATAGACATACCACAGGAAAGCCAAATAAAGCATAATCCACAGCCAGGGTTTGAGAGGCAAGTGTCAAGGCCTGAATCACAGTTCTGCCAAATACCAATGGTCTGCCTCTGGGCAAATTACCAAACCTCTAAACTTCTATTTTCTCACCTGCAAAATGAGGATAATAATAGTATCTACCTCATACAATGTGGTGAGAAGAAAAGAGAGAAATGATGAGGTAGTTTCTGGTAATAGTTCCAAGGAGATGACACGTGCTCAGAGGATAGTTATCCACATCATCAATGGGGGAGCACAGATCTGGGTTGGTCGCCCGACCTAGCCCAGGGGCACCCAAGTGCCTACTCCTTGCTGGTTACTCTGATCCACTCGATCTGCCTCCTCTTACTCCTCCTCAGAAGAGGAAATTGAATCTATCATACTTTTCTACCATGAGTATAGATTAGTATAACCACTCATAAAATTTCCCAGCAGACTCTATGAAATCTAATGTCAGTTTATGTAGACAAAGCAATTTTACTGGTGAATGTCTACCCAGAAATGAGTACATACATGTGCCAAAAGATGTTTTTCCTGTTTCTTTTTTAAAAATTCATTTTATTTATTATTGTATTATTTAATTATTTGATTTTAGTGGGTAGGGGGAGGTAATAAGGTTTATTTAATTTTAGAGGAGGTACTGGGGATTGAACCCAGGGCCTTCTGCATGCTAAGCATGCACTCTACCACGTGAGCTATAGCCTCCTCTGCAAAAGATGTAAAAGAATGTTTACAGCCCCTTTATTCACAAGAGCACCAAACAAAGCAAACCTAGTGCCCATCAACAAGAGGATGGATAAACACATTGCAGTACATTCATATACAGCGGAATACAATATAGCAATAACAATAAGGTGACATACAGCAATATAGATGACTCTCACAAAAAACACTAGTAAAAGAAGCTAGAGTACATAATTTACTTTCTATTTGTAGAAAATTCAGGAAGGAGCAAAATTAATTTATGGTCATAGAAATCAGAAGAATGGTTACCTTTCTTTGGGGAGGTATTGCTGAAAAGGTTATGGTATACTGGTAAATGTTTAACCACCAGTGGAAGGAAGGAAGGAAGGAAGGAAGGAAGGAAAGAAAGAAAGAAGAAAGAAAGAAAGAAAGAAAGAAAGAAAGAAAGAAAGAAAGAAAGAAAGAAAGAAAGAAAGAAAGAAAGAAAGAAAGAAAGAAAGAAAGAAAGAAAGAAAGGAGGAAAAGGAAGGAAGAAGGAAGG